TCATCTTTCAGCATAACACTCATCTACAAGAGCCACAGCAAGAGCTACAGAAGCAGCCGGGCGCGGTGGCTTGCGCCTGTAATCCCAGCACTTTGGGAGGCCGAAGCGGGTGGATCACCAGCCTGGTCAACATGGCAAAACCCTATCTCTACTAAAAATACAAAAATTAGCTGGGCGTGGTGTCACATACCTATAATCCCAGCTATTGGGGAGGCTGAGGCAAGAGAATTGCTTGAACCCAAGAGGCAGAGGTTGCAGTGAGCAGAGATCATGCCACTGCACTCCAGCCTGGGTGACGTTCTTTTTTTTGTCTCAAAAAAAAAAAAAAAAAAAAAAAAAAAAGGAGCTACAGAAGCTTCCTGTATCGACAGGCAGAGTGGGCATTGCTCAGCCCGCATTCGAGGCTCCACAAACCCACCTGGGCTCTTCCTTCCTTGCTGCAGGAGGCTACTCAGGCTCCTTGAGGCATCTCCAGGCAGGTGCTCGCCCCCACCACCACGCCTCCACTAGACCACCTGGCCTGGGTGTCTACTGTCCTGTTAGTAACTGTCCAAACTCATTTCACCCAATCCCTAGGGCAAATCCCACCTGCCTCCAAGACTCCCTTTGAGGTTGTGCTGTCTGCATTTCCTCTTTGAAAGTCTCTTTCAGGGCTGGGTGCAGTGGCTTACACCTGTAATTCCAGCACTTTGGGAGGCCAAAGCAGGCAGATCACGAGGTCAGGAGATCGAGACCATCTTGGCCAACATGGTGAAACCCCGTCTCTACCAAAAATACAAAAAAAATTAGCTGCGCGTGGTGGTGCACGCTTGTAGTCCCAGCTATTCGGGAGGCTGAGGCAGGAGAATTGCTTGAACCCAGGAGGCAGAGATTGCAGTGAGCTGAGATCGTGCCACTGCACTACAGCCTGGATGACACTGTGAGACTCTGTCTCAAAAAAAGAAAAGTCTCTTTTGGCTGGCACGAAGTGAGCACTGAGGACCCGGCAGCTGCTATTTTGGAGGCTAACACTGCTGACACCACAATTCACTCAGAGAAAGGCTGCAATCGCTGTGCTTTCTCAACCGAATCCAGGGATGTTAAAAAAACAGGCTGTCCTTGGAGATCTAAGACCAGTGTTGCTCATGGGTGGGCCAGAGTCAAGACTTGAAATACATCTCAGTAGGATCTTTTCTTGACGGAGTATAGTATGGGTTTTAAGTGTTTTTTTTTTTTTTTTCTTTGAGACGGGGTTTCGCTCTTGTTACCCACACTGGAGTGCAATGGCGCAATCTCGGCTCATTGCAATCTCCACCTCCTGGGTTCAAGCAATTCTCCTGCCTCAGCCTCCCGAGTAGCTGGGATTACAGGCATGCACCACCATGCCTGGCTAATTTTTTTGTATTTTTAGTAGAGACGGGGTTTTGCCATGTTGACCAGGATGGTCTCGATCTCTTGATCTCGTGATCCACCCGCCTCGGCCTCCCAAAGTGCTGGGATTACAGGCGTGAGCCACCGCGCCTGGCCTAAGCGTTAGTTTTAAAAGTAGTGTTTGGAATGCACTGAGCAGTAAGTGGCTTAATCAATACCACTATCACGTAATAGCAATCTATCAGTGCTGTTGGCACATAGAATTGTACTCTTACTTCTTTATTATTTTTTTGAGATGAAGTCTCACTCTGTTGCCCAGGCTGGAGTGCAATGGCACAGTTGTGGCTCACTACAACCTCTGTCTCCTGGGTTCAAGCAATTCTTCTGCCTCAGCCTCCCAAGTAGCTGGGATTACAGGCATGTGCCACTAAACCCGGCTAATTTTTGTATTTTTAGTAGAGACAGGGTTTGTCCATGTTGACCAGGTTGGTCTTGACCTCCTGAACTCAGGTAAGGAGGTCAAGACCAGCTGCAGCCTCCCAAAGTGCTGGGATTACAGGTGTGAGCCACTGTGCCTGGCCAAGTTTTGTACCTCAAGGACAGCCATCATTCAAGATGATGCCAGCCTTCCTGGGGGTGAGTACATGACTCATCTGCCTTGGCACAGCTGACTGTAGGGATGAGCCGGGACCCCACCAGACTGGGACTAAGCCTCAGAAGCTCCCAATGAACACCTTAGGCCATGCGCATCTTTCTCTTTATTCATGAGTGTCAAATAGGGCTCTGGTCTGGGGAATTTGTATTACACATACACATAACTCAAGTTAAAGTATTTCCAATATGAGGCCAGGCACAGTGGCTCACACCCATAATCTCAGCATTTTGGGAGGCCGAGGTGGGTGGATCACCTGAGGTCAGCGGTTTGAGACCAGCCTGACCAACATGGTGAAACCCCGTCTCTACCAAAAATATAAAAATTAGCTGGGCATGGTGGCAGGCAACTGTAATCCCAATTACTCAAGAGGCTGAGGCAGGAGAATTGCTTGAATCTGTGAGACGGAGGTTGCAGTGAGCCGAGATCATGCCACTACACTCCAGCCTGGGGGACAGAGGGAGATTCTGTCTCAAAAAAAAAAAAAAAAAAGCATTTCCAAGATGCATAAAACAGGTCCACTTTCATCTTTTTCTAGTTATCCAGGAACTTCCACAAAGCGGGCATTTTGGGCTGAAAGTCACTCACTCCGTGAGCAGTCAAGCAGAGCTAGTGCCCAGGGAAGGCAGGCAGCCTGCGCCATGGCCCTTGGCTCAGAAACCACCTAAACAGCCCTGCACTGTGGCTCACCATCTCCTTCACACTCACGTCAGAAGATAAGCCTGTCATAGGCTCCCAGGTGACTGAGTGGAGGGAAGTGTGTCAGGTGCCCTGAAGAGTGAGGCCATCCGCCCACCTCTAGCATTTCCTGACACACTGAGCAACCCCCGGCTGCACGCCGGCCAGAGCGTTCCTGGAAGATGCTGGGAGGCTTCCCAAGGCGCCCCGCCTAGATATCTTCCCAGGAATCACGGATCCCTGAGGAGGGAGATACAATCATTTAGAAATCTGTGACCAGATGGGTGCGGTGGCTCACACTTGTAATCCCAGCACTTTAGGAGGCTGTGGCGGGAGGGTCACCTGAGGTCAGGAGCTGGAGACCAGCCTGACCAACATGCAGAAACCCCACCTCTACTAAAAATACAAAAAATTAGCCAGGTGTGATGGCACATGCCTGTAATCCCAGCTACTCAGTAGGCTGAGGGAGGAGAATCACTTGAACCCAGGAGATGGAGGCTGCGGTGAGCCGATATTGCGCCATTGTACTCCAGCCTGGGCAACAAGAGCGAAAATCCATCTCGGAAAAAAAAAAAAAAAGTGTGACCTAACTGCTGATCACACAAAAGCAGTGGTTTTCCCATTAATTCTGAAACAATTATTAAATGCAGTGGAGGGGACAAACTGAGCCAAAGGCCTCAAATGAGTCACCATGCCTGCCTTTTCAATTAAACAGCACCATTTTGTAAACTGCTCAGCTTCAAGAAGGTCAGCCCAAGTGGACCACAGGACTAGCAGCCTTGACCCCTGCTGGGTCAAGCTCCTTCTCACACTAGGCTGCTGCAGAGGAGAGTCGAAAATGCCCTAGGCCAGGCACAGCTCATGCCTGGAATCCCAGCACTTTGAAAGGCCAAGGTGGCAGGATCTCTTGAGCCCAGGAGTCTGAGACCAGCCTGGGCAACATAAACCCCACTGTACAAAAAATGAAATTAGCCAGGTGCAGTAGTATATGCCTGTAGTCCCAGCTACTTGGGAGGCTGAGGTGATCACTTGAGCCCAGGAGACTTGAGTCTGAAGTGAGTGATGATTGCACCACAGCACTCCAGTCTGGGTGGCAGATCGAGACTCTGTCACAAAACAAAAACCCCACAAGCCTCTCCTGCTCAGTGTGGCTACACCAAGAATACAAGTTGAGATTTCTTGGCTATTTGAGACAGGTCTCACTCTCAGGCGGGAGTGCAGTGGCGTGATCTCAGTTCGCCGCAACCTCCACCTCTCAGGCTCAAGCTATCCTCCCACCAGTCTCCTGAGTAGCTGGGACCACAGGTGTGCATCACCACACTTGGCTAATTTTTGGTAGAGATGGGGTTTCGGCATGTCACCCAGGCTGGTCTGGCATTCTTGAGCTCAAGCAATCCACCTGCCTCGGCCTCTCAGTGTTGGGATTACAGGCATAAGCCATTGAGCCTGGCCTTTTTTTTTTTTTTTTTAAGCTGGGGTTTCACCATGATGGCCAGTCTGGTCTTGAACTCCTGACCTCAGGTGATCCACTCACCTCGGCCTTCCAAAGTGCTAGGATTACAGGCTTGAGCCACCGCGCCCGGCTAGCCTGGCCCTTTTTATTACTTTTTGAAACGCCCCACTCTGTCACCCAGGCTGGAGTGCAGTGCTACAACCACAGCTCACCACAGCCTTGACCTCCTGGGCTCAAGTGATCCACCTCAGCCTCCGAAGTAACTGTGACTGCAAGCGTGCACCATTTACCTTTTGTAGAGGTGGGGAGTCTCACTTAGCGCTGGGATGACAGGCACGAGCTACCACGGTTGGCCCTTATTTCTTTTTTGTTCAGTCTTCTTTGCCTCTGTAGCCAACGTGCATATGTAAACATGCCTAGTCTCACCCTAAAAGCAGCTACTGAGCAAACAATACGTTTTAATTACTTAGCATATTAAAACCGTTTCTTCACGGATATGTCCTTCTTCTTTAACACAGAACAGGAGAACCAAAGCCAAGCTCTTTATCCTCCCAAAGCCCTTGGTCTAGACCAGAGTTCCCAAAGCATGGTCAGTGGTTTCTCTACATCAGAAACAGCAGGTGTGTGTCTTCATACGCAGTGTCTGAGGGTGTGAGGCGGGGTTTGCAATTCTGTACTGTTAACAGGTTCCCTAGGAGTTCCTGACAGTCAACTGTGGGCATCGCTCCCAGGAGGGCCTCTGAGCTCCACATGCTCCCCTAGTGGGGGTGTAAGCTGGGTGACTCTGAAATAAGGACCCAAGATTCCTGACTCCCTGATGCTGTTTTAAAACTTTTAAGGCAGGCAAAGCAAAAAAAAGATTCCAAGTGAAGAATTCATTGTATGTTTATTATTCACAGTTAATCACTACCTACCAAATGCTATCCGCAGAGTTAAAGGATTAAGTACATAGGTCTTTTTATTTAAACACTGATTTTTTTTTAAATATATACACACAAAACTTAGTTCAGCAAGGCTTCATGATATACACCAATTCCAAAATAAAACAATCAAATGGTCCAGGTGTAGAATGCCAGATTCCTTTTATCATCAGGAGAGGAGAAGCAGAATGAGAGACAGTGAGGGGAGGCAAGGACAGGTTCTTCCCAGAAGAGCTGCCGCCCCATGGCACAGCAAGCTATCCAGGCCTAGTCCCTGTCCATATCCAGAGTTGGAGGGAGACTCCCATCGGCTGCTTTGGGACCCAAAGGCCCAAGGCTGTCACTAACTCCCGGGAGACAGGGAGGCAGTCCTGCTTTTGTTGTGGGAAGGGGTTTGGATGGAGAAAAAGATTACAGGCACATCACTACAGGCGACCAGAGGTGGAGAGGACAGAGAGCTCTGCGGCGGTCTTGGTTTTCCCGTCTTTCCAATCCTGCCTTCCCCAACTCTCCCTGCTTCCTGCCCTTTCATCTGTAGGGGTGGGGAGCAGCGGTCAACACAGCCTCCTGGGAAAGGAGGCACCAGCTGCCCTCCTGCTGCTTCCTGGTGCTGCCCTCATGCTCACCTGGACAGGTCGGGGGACACAGGATGAAATCCATAACCCAATCTCAAGAGCAAGACAAGTGAAAAGTGAATACTCACTGTTTACCCCAGCATAGGAATAGGGTGGAACCTGCTACAACTGGAGACTGTGTTCCCTCCACTTCCTCCTCCTCTCTCCTTGTCTGAGACTTGCTGGTTCCAGGGGCGCATGTAGGGATGGGGTGGGGGCCACAACCCCCGGAGATGGTGAGGACAGGCTTCCCACTCCCTGTAAGCCAGATCCAGTGGGATATGGAGGGCTGGGTGGTCACCTTCCCTCTTGCCCCAGAAGCCCCACACAGTGCACCTTGGGCAAGCAGCTCCCTGAACCCCCAAAGGGCTCACAAACCTTAAAGCTGGAGCTTAAAGCCTCCTGGCTTAGTACAAGCAGAATGCCTCACCTTCCACTTCTGCTTGTCTCCTTTGCTCTACCCTGGTTCCCCTGCCCCGAGGGAAAAATATTTACACAGAGTAGGAGACAAATTGGCTGAAAAGCTCTGGACTGTCTTTAACTTATTTTAAAACAAAACAAATTAAAAAAAAAAAAAAAAACACCATTCAGAAGCAACGCTTGAAATAAGGAAAAAGGCACTATGAAAAAACAACATGCTCAATAATACCATTAGAAGGGCAAAGAGGAAAGGTGGGCTTTTTTTTTTTTTTTTTTTTTTAAAAAGTTCCCTGTCACCCAGGCTGGGGGGCAATGGCATGGCCTTGGCTCACTGCAACCTCCACCTCTCAGGTTCAAGTGATTCTCCTGCCTCAGGCTCCCAAGTAGCTGGGACTACAGGCACATGCTACCACACCCGGCTAATTTTTGTATTTTTAGTAGAGACAGGGTTTTGCCATGTTGGCTAGACTGGTCTCGAACTCCTGACCTCATGATCTGCCCTCCTCGGCCTCCCAAAGTGCTGGGATTACAGGTGTGAGCCACCACGCCTGGTCCAGGTGGGCTTTCTTGGGAAGCCATGAAGGCAGCAACATGCTTTCCTTCTACTCCACTCTACTTCCAACTTGGGCAAAACACACTGGGGATCTGGGCTGGAGGCAGATTCCTATAAGCTCCCTTCTCTGGAGGAAGCTAAACAGCAAAGGCATCCAGCTGCCTGCCCGCTCCTTTTTGTGTGTATATATGAAGAACACGGAAACAGCTGTTCTTCTTTCAGTCATTCCAACTAAAACAGACATTTTGCATAGAGAGAATACCAGCCCACTTAGTTTCTTGTCTTTTATTACTGGCGTCAGCTAGGACTATACGTGGCCTTAAACGTCATGCACTGATGGACAGAAGAGAAAAAAGGATGAAAAGAAGGACAAAGGAGGGGAAAGAGGAGCAGCAGTGAAAATTTGTCATAAAAACTCTTCTTAATTTATAGGTAAGTTTTGGCATTTTTATATCCAACACCCCCTCCCACCCCTAAAGTTCCAACCAAAGTGAGAGGGTCACAGGGTGCCCCGGCCAGGTGTTCTGCACTCCCTCACAGGCTGCTGTGAGAGGCAGCTTGTGGGTTTAATTCTTTTGTATGTGTTTTACATTTTTTCACTTTCTTTAAATAATCACTTCTTGACTCTTAGACGTTCCGGTTCACGGGGGTGACGTAGTTGCGGGGAAACATGCCGGTCTGGCCGTGGCACGCTCCTTTCCACCAGTTGGGGTCTGAGTTATCCATGACATGGATAAAATCTCCCCGGCGGAAGCCTAGCTCTCCGTCCTCCTGGGGATCAAAGTCAAAGAGGGCCTGGACGTATGTCGGCTGCTGCAAAACAGAAGCAGGGAAAACTCACATTGGATTCCTGGTCTGTGGCCAGCACCTCCGAGGCCAGATGGGCTCCAGGGGGAACGAATGCATGCCAAATTCTCCACGTTTCCTAAAATCACCTCCCATCTCCCAACGCGTTTATTCTTACCTATTCTAAATTTACAAGCGCAGTGGGTTTAGTGTGACCTTTCCCCAATGCTAAAAAAATACTGGAGTATGTCTCCAGGAGGACAGTGGCCAACTGTGCCGACTTATTAAGCAGAGGGCAGGCAGTGAATGGAGGGGAAAGTTCTTTAAAAGCAGCAGCAGTCTGTGTTTAGCCCGAGGGCCCAGGATTTGGAAACCCCTTCTACGACACCCTTAAGGTGTTACAGAGTATAAAGTTCCGGAGCTTGAATAACGTAAGGGGCTCTAACCACTCATATGATCAGGGCACTAGGGGGGTAGGGACGGGTGCCGGCCCCACTCCCTCACAAGCATAGTTTTCCTCGTGATTGCTTCCAGGGATAGGATCTTTGGAAGGGCGTGTTAAAGACCATCTCCCTAGAGACTGGCAAGCTGGCCACACACTGCCTTTGGAAAAGCAAAAATGTTGTATGTAAAACAACAAATCTTTTTTTTTGAGACAGAGTCTCACTCTGTCGCTTAGGCTGGAGTGCAGTGGCGCGATCTAGGCTCACGAAACCTCAGCTTCCTGGGTTCAAGTTATTCTCCTGCCTCAGCCTCCCAAATAGCTGGGATTACAGGCGCATGCCACCACGCCTGGCTAATTCTTTTGTATTTTTAGTAGAGATGGGTTTTTACCATGTTGGCTAGGCTCGTCTTGCACACCTGGCCTCACGTGATCCGCCTGCCTCAGCCTCCCAAAGTGCTGAGATTACAGGTGTGAGCCACCAAACCCAGCCAATTTTTTGTATTTTTAGTAGAGACGGGGTTTCACCATGTTGGCCAGGCTGGTCTCAAACTCCTGATCTCAAGTGATTCGTCTGCCTTGGCCTCCCAAAGTGCTGGGATTACAGGCGTAAGGTATTAAGCAGGGCCAGAATCAACAAATCTTAAGTGTGAACGGAGGGTAACATTTTCAGTAATGAGCACAGCCCCAACTGCAATCCTTGAAGGGTGCCTGCGAGTTGAGGAGCACCTACGCTTTACTACAGGAGTATACACTGAGGAGATATTCTTTCTTTTGTTGTTGTTTTTTTTTTGAGATGGTGTCTTGCTCTGTTGCTAGGCTGGAGTGCGGTGGTGCAATCTCAGCTCACTGCAACCTCCACATCCCAGGTTTAAGTGATTCCCCTGCCTCAGCTTCCTGAGTAGCTGGGACTACAGGCATGCGCCAACATGCCCGCTAATTTTTTGTATTTTAGTAGAGATGGGGTTTCACCATGTTGATCAGGATGGTCTTGATTTCCTGACCTCTTGATCCACCCACCTCGGCCTTCCAAAGTGCTGGGATTACAGGCGTGAGCCACCGCACCTGGCCTGAGGAGCTATTCTTAATTGCTAAAAATGATACCCATCTCACCCTGATGAGGCTTACCTGTGGCACCTGTTCTATGTCCCGCAGGAATATCTGCTGGTTTCTGGAGACAGATGTAGATCTGTGATAATCCACCAGCTCATTCAAAGAATTGAACTTCACCACCCAGAGGAAATACTTGCCAGCTCCGTCTCGGAGCACCTTGAAGTGCTGCACATCATTTCCAAACCTGGGAGGAACAGAGAGCACACAGTGAGGACTCTATCCTGGCAAATCGAGGGCTATCTGCCCACATAGGAGATGTCTTGACAATCAGGGATGGCAGACAACAAATCTCACTGCGTGACCCTGGGACAGATACCTCTTATGACTGATGGGCACCAGGACAACATGAAAAACCCTCACCAGACAGGGAGAGGCCATCAGTCACTCTAATTCTGAAGATGTCTGTAGGGTTAGTCCATGTGTCACTCTACCACATTAAATCATGTCCTTACTTAAGACAAAGGAGTGTGACTTAACTTCCTTTGAATCAAAAATTAATTAAAATCTTACATGTGATATTCAAAGACTAAAAAAGCAGGCTGGAAGAAGGTGAGGAGGGCTGGAAATACTTTCAACAATTCTCTCGTAAGTGGGAAAAAGTCATGTTTTCTGTTCAGGAATTTTAGCTCCACTCATGGGGAGAAGGTCTCTGAGCAAAAAGACATACTGGGACAATAAAAGAGGCCCAGACTTTGAGACCCAAAAGAGTTTCCGTCACCAGATTTCACCCTTTTATACTGGCTGGCAAAACTGCCAAGAGCGTGACTGGCTGGTAGTAGCTAACAGGGTCTGTCATAGGATATTTGGCTAAAACACTAGCCCAGCGGGGGCGCTTCTGCCTATCCTGTTCACCCTGCCCGGCACTAAAAAGGTGCTCTCGGAGTGTTTGTTCAATGAATGAATGAGTCCCTCCTTAATTTCAGTCTTACAGCTGATGGAAACCAAAGGCTTCAGAAAAATCAATCCGGCAGGTGGCAGCACTGAGCTTCAAGGAAGCCAGAGTACAAGATGCCTCGCAAAAAAAACCTGCTTTTTCATGCAAGACAAAATGTAGAAGGTGAGAAAGCTTCATTATCAAGGGTATATTTACACGGTACTGCTGGACCCAAAGAGACCCACCTCCACCCATGCAATGCAGATGGTTTCTAAAAGAGCCCAGGGCCCCAATAATGAGCAGTATGTTAACTACTGTGTTTCAAATCACAGGCTCAAAACATCCTAAAACTAAGAAACATCTGAAGACTGTTGATTCTTGAACCTCTTTTACAAAGGTGTGTGTCTGGGTGAAGGCAGTCATGACACCTGCTTTGTTTCTAAAACAATAAATACACTAAATCCTTAAAGATTCTACTTGAGAAGGCCGGGCGTGGTGGCTCATGCCTGGAATCCCAGCATTTTGGGAGGTCGAGATAGGTGGATCACCTGAGGTCAGGAGTTCGAGACCAGCCTGGCCAACCCATCGCTATACATATTAAAATAAAATAAAAGAAAAAAAAAGATTAAAAAGAATAAGATTCTACTTGAGAAAATGGAAGCCTGGGAGCTTCTGCTGAGCAAACAGCCTCCAGTTGAGCATGTGGCTGCCTCCTGGTTCTGGCCACCACCCAGGGATTTATTGCTTGTTCCCCTCATCTTACACGGTCTCAGTTACATAAACCCACCCCAAGATGCTCTTCATCAGACCCCTTTAAGTATATCAATTTTGGCTTTTTCATATGTTGGGAATAAAGACTAACTCCACTTAAATATATTTACAAGGTATTACTAATATCATGTGGAATCTCTCATGCCTTCCTTTAGAAAAAGAACACACCTGGGCGCAGTGGCTCACGCCTGTAATCCCAGCACTTTGGGAAGCCGAGGTGGGCGAATAACGAGGTCAGGAGTTTGATACCAGCCTGACCAACATGGTCTCCACTAAAAATACAGAATTAGCCAGGCGTGGTGGTGGGTGTCTGTAATCCCAGCCACACAGGTAGCTGAGGCAGGAGAATCGCTTGAACCCAGGAGGTGGAGGTTGCAGTGAGCTGAGATTGTGCCACTGTACTCCAGCCTGACGACAGAGCGAGACTCCATCT